TATGGAAGTGATTGTTGATAAATCAAAATAAATTAATAAAAATAAAATTAAAAAAAAATAAATCCTTGAAAGGAATTTTAGTTAGAAGTTAAGGAAAATAAAGAAGCATTTTTCCATTCAAATTCACGGAACCCTTTAAATTTATCCGTGAACCCCGGGACTCCTGCCTTAGAATAAAAGGTTCTTGGGGCGGATTGTGTTCTTTTCACCTACATCTCCTACTCTGGGCTGGGTTCCAGCGCGGTCCCCCGGCTTGGCGCATACTGAGTTTACTTAACGCATGGGCCCTGCCTGCCTATTCTCTCCTCGGCCATTCGTTCTACTTCCAGGGGGTACCTGGCGCCGGGATTATCAGTCAAGAGTCGGGTAGGAGTTCTGATTCTCCTACCCTCTGTATGACTGGAAAATCATTCCCCTTCTCCGTGCTTCAGTTTCATCACCTGTAGAATAAAGAGATTGGAATGATAACAATAACAGCTAATATTTATGTTGCGCTTTAAAGTTTGCAATGCTCTGGAAATATTCTCTCATTTGAGTTGTTTCAATAAGCTTTTCCTAACGCTCCTTTCACATCTCAAAAGCTCTGATCACCAAAACAGAGCCCAGAGATTCTGCTCTGCCCTTTCCCAGATCTTTGCGCCCCAGACCTGCAGGTGGGGGGTCAGTTTTCTCCCCTACCCTTTCCAGGAAACACCTGGCTAACAAATTCTGTTCCACTGATCAGCCCCTGAACGGAGGTAGGGGATTTTATTCTTAAGCATTGTTCTTCCATAAAACATAAGCTGTCCGCCCGAACAGGGACTTGAACCCTGGACCCTCAGATTAAAAGTCTGATGCTCTACCGACTGAGCTATCCGGGCTCTTAGTTTAGTGGAGAGCTTGGGTAAGTGAACATTTTAACTTACTTTTCCATGGTTCATTCTGTGGGTTCTTTCTTTATCCCACTTCTTTTTTTACGTTCTAAAACTCTACTACGTCTGCATATTTGAGGGCTGAAGGAGAAAAGTCTCTCTCCACCCCACCCACCAACCCCACCTCATCCCGCAAGCGACCAAAGCGCTCTGTGCAGAGCTGTGATCTTCGGGCCATCTCGGGTCACCAACACTCGCTAAGGCTCGTGTACCAGGTTTGGGACGGCAGAAACAGAGGAAGGGGAAGCCTGGAGGGGCTAGAGAGCCACGGGCTTGGGGGAAGTGAGACCCTCTGGGGCCGATGGGAAGAACTTTGTTCTTGCTGCCCTTTTGCTGAGAGGTTATGTTAGTCACGGAGATTTGTCCCCACTTGCCCTTCCGAGTGTTTAAGAATAGAAGAGGAAGGGGAAACACAGGACGCCAATCTCTCCCCACGCCACCCACCATCCCCTACGTTGGGGTGGCTTTGCAGCCTGCATTTGGGAACCTGTTCCTTTAAATGCTAGTTCCTGTTTGTCTATGCCAAGTTGTGCTACAGGTAAACCAGAAACACTTGTCCAACTGTGTTTGGGGGGAGGGGACAGCAATCGAGCCCATTTTCAGTTGTTGTTTGTTTTTGCTACACATGTATAAACACTGTTCTGGGGTATATGTATATGTATACACACACACATATATACACACACATATGTGTGTGTATATAATGTATATGTGTGTATAAACTGTACCTCCAATAAAGAGACAGGACGCTAATTAAGACATTGAAAGGAAGTTCCTTTATAAAACACAAATACAAATTGAAATGCTCTGTGATAGGAGAATTTAAAGTTTGACCAAAAAGCCATGTTCTACGGGTGGAGAGTCATCTCAGCTTTATTAATTTTAGTGAGATTTTCCCAGTCATGTCTCTTCTTCAGTATGCTCTTCCTATAGCATTTTTAAAATAATTTTTAAAAAAAGTCTTAATGAAGCAGATGATCCTGCCCCTTTACTTCTCTCCCTCCCCCTCCCTAACAGGGGGTGGAGGCCAGAGCTCAGAGAGAGCCTGCTATTTTTTCAGATGAATCCTACTCTAGATTCATAAATACAGTCTGGCTGAAGAAAAGTCAAAGCAGACTGGGGAGTGGGCTATGCGGCCAAGGGCACCGAGGAGACCTGAGCTGCTGGGATTTGTTGTGTGCAGGGGAGTCTGCTAGATGCTGGGAAAAATCAACAAGCATTTATTGTTATGTACCTATTAGGGGCTACTGTGGGATACAGAAACAAAAGTGAGACAGACACCCTCAAGGAGCTTATATCCTTTACCAGTCCTCATGGAACTCACAGTCAACTCGGGGGTAAGGAGAAGAAACAAAAACAAAGACAGCTGTAACTGCCCTACATTACCAGCTAAATGTTTTAAGGAAGCGTGGAACACCATGATGTGTGAGGTCTGAAGGGGGTGGTCCTATCCCAAAGAGGCACTCTGAGAAGGATTCCTAGGGATGACTATTTCACAGGAGCAGACCGGAACATTGTAACCCTCTAAGACTTGACCCCACTGGAACTTGACCACACAGTCTTTAAATCCTTTTAATTTTACTTGAAATCTAGGGAACACTCTGAGGTCATCAGCTCATTCCTAAGAAAGTGTCAAAGATGATAGAAGATGGAAAAAGTCATTGTTGGAAAGGCTGTGGGAAGACAGGTGTACCCATATTTTGTTGATGGAGCTACACAGCCGTCTTCTTGTTCTTCAGAGCAGATTTAAAAGATGGGAGAAAACAGTTCATGTCCTTTGACCCACTGATCTCTACTAGATACATAATCAATTAATTAACAGGCATTTATTAATCAAACGCTATGTGCCAAACACTGCTCTAGCACCTGGAGACGATACAAAGATAAAAAGGAAATAGTTGCTGCCTTCAAGGAGCTTATGTACTCCTCAGAACGTCAAAGGAAAAAGAAAGATCTCATATATAGTAAAATATTTTATAGTAAAAAAAAAAAGTGGTGAAAAGTGGATGGTCACAGATGTGGAAATGACTGAACAAAATGAGATAAATAAATGTTATAGCATATGATTGCATGTATCAATTGATTCAAAGAACTCAGAACCAAAAAAAAACAATATTCACAATGGCAATAATGAACTAAATCTCACCTCCTTTCTAGGCTTCCATTTGCTGTAGGGGAAATCTAACCTGCCACTTTAAACAAATCCTGCCAAAAATGAAATGAAATTGGCCTTTGTCGCAGGTGCACTCATTTAGGGTCTATTGTATTTTTATGTTTGTAATAACAGGCACTTCATAAATCCTCCTTAATAATCAGGGCTAAAAGTGCAAGGAGAACCGCCCGAACAGGGACTTGAACCCTGGACCCTCAGATTAAAAGTCTGATGCTCTACCGACTGAGCTATCCGGGCTCCTTAGGGACCTATTTTTCGTTCGAAAGGTGAAAAGGGCAAAAGGAATTGACAAACTATAAATATGTATGAATGGGAGAGAATGGCCCCTGGGGTTGGGTTGGGACGGAGGTGGGGGAGAATGGTTCATAAAGAATCAGCTTGAAGGCTAAATCCACGTTGTAACATGTAAGGATGTGTGAAGACAGAGCGGACCCCGAGATAATAGAACATGATGTTCTGGGCTCACTTCTTCCTGGTGGCTGCAAAATAGAGAGAGACGCCTCCTTGGGACCCTTTCCAACACCTTCCCGCCCCCGCCCCACACATCACTGTGACATCGGACAGCTCAGCCAAGGGTCCCAGAAGCTTCGGACCCAGCCAAGCTCTGGCCGGGGGCACTTGGCCTCTAGAGACTACAAGAACTTCTCTTCAGCCAGAGCGAAGAGAAAGCACTTTTCGTGGAACTGAAATGGTTCAGTCAGGAGAGCGTTAGATCCAGCTTTAGAAAAATCACCTTGCCAGCTGAGTGGTGGATAAACTGTGGTGGGAAGAGATTTGAGACTGGGAGAGCAGTTAGAATTAGTTCATCGGTGCTTTCTGATTCATTCATTCATCAGGATTCTAGAGGTGAAATAGAATGAACAGGATTTTGTAACTGTTCAGATGTAAGAGGAAATGGTGTCACAGGTAGCCCCAAGGCTGTGAACTAGGGAGACAAAATGAATAATGGTGACAAAAATAGAGGAGTCAGAAAGAAGGGCAGTTTGACTTTTAGGACTGATGCCAGTTACTAAAGGACTGGGTTTGTTGAAAGAGAAAAGGAGGTTTTCTTCTCCACTTTCATAGCAGCAGGTTCTAGTATGGGATTAAACTGTTCAGTGAGGGGAAAGGGATTCATGGAAAGTAAAGTTAGACAGGCAGTGGAAGGCCTTGAATATCAGGCTGCAGAGTGTGGACTTTATCCATCAGGCCATGAGGAGCCACTGATAGTTTTCTAGCAGCCTGTGTATGTATATAGGATGGCTCTCAGAAGAGACAGACAGACAGCAGCACCAGTTAGGATGTCACTTCAGGGGCGGAATCAGAGTGATAGCAATGAAAAAGAGAGACTTTTCAGCCTGGGATTCAGGGGAAAAAACTTTCAAATTCTTCATCCAGGCTCAGAGGCCCACTGGACTCCAAGCAAATAGCACACTGCCCTTCTAGTCTGGGAGTGCATGCCTCTGAGCAGGACCCACTCACCAAGGCCTAAAGGAAGGATGCAATTTAGAGGAACATATCTGGACACAAGCCTGGACCTTTAATCTCTGCTCTTGTCTCAATGTCAGCCATAATCGTGCTTCAGTTTACTCAAGCGTGTAGTACTTCTGGTATCTGCTTTGTGCAGAGGTAACTTCGTTGGAGACACTCTCCACTCCCACTTCCTTAATTTGCAGCCTCTAGAGGGGGCTAACTTTCTAAAGTAGGTAGTGGTAAGGAAGCCAAGCTTACTGAGCAGGTGTGCAGCCTTTCCAAGGTCTGGTGGGACTGAGGGCATTAGAGCCATAATTAGGACTGGGTCATTGGACATTTGCCTCAGGATTCCAACTACTAAGAACAACATGCCATTCATTTATATTTATATGATTAAGCAGTCATAGTATGTCAATTCCTTTTGCCCTTTTCACCTTTTGAACAAAAAACTACATTCTTGGGGAGCCTGGATAGCTCAGTAGGTAGAGCTTCAGACTTTTAATCCGAGGGTTCAGGGTTCAAGGCCCTATTCGGGCGGTTCTTTGCACTTTTAGTGCACAGACTAGACAGAGAGGAAAACAGTACCTGTGTTTCCCGAGCACTAATGATTAGGAAGATCTGGAGTGGCTTTGTGTAGGACGTGGTAAGTGTGCTGAGCCTTGGAGAGAGCTAGAGACTATGAAATGGGGGGCGGGGGGGGGCGGCAACAGCCTATGCAAAGTCCCAGGGGCTGGAGATGGAGAGCAGTAAGCAGAGTGGGCTCGAACACAGAGTGCCTGAGGGAGAAGAAAAGGTAATTAGTCTAGAATGGATAGCTTGAAGCCTGTTTGTGAATACAGAAGAATTCATATTTGAGCCTAGAGGTAATAGGGAGCCATTGAAACTACTTGAGCCGGAATCAAGTATGAATTTAAGAAATTTCCTCCTCCAGACAGATAATGCCATCCATAGCTTTGGAGTCCTGCCAGCCTCGTACTTTAGAGAACTGTGTGGAGCAGTGAACAGCGTATTGAACTTCGGGACTATAAAAACGATGCCTTACTTAACTAACCCTTCTCGTTTATCTACTTCTTTAAAAAAGCCTGGCTTTCGTGTGGCTCTGTGGCGCAATGGATAGCGCATTGGACTTCTAGCTGCCTGGGAGAGGCATTCAAAGGTTGTGGGTTCGAGTCCCACCAGAGTCGCGTTTTCGTTTGCTTGTTTAGGTATTTTTGTTTGATTTGTTTTTAGAGTAGTAACTCCAAGTAGGATTGAGCACAGTTCCTGGGCTTTGGGTTTCACTTTCTGCTATTTCCGATTAAGTGATCCTGTAAAAGTCATAGTAAAGGGGGGGGGGCGGGGGCGGGGAAGGGTTGCCTTTTTGTCTTTCTGTCGCCAGTGCCTGGCAGAGAAGAAGTACTTAAAAATACCTATTGAGTTGAATGGCATAGATAGGACATTGGGCAAAGGGGATTTTTCACAGAATATCACCATTGGAAAGGGATACCATACGGACCCTGAGCCATCCTTCTTAATTAGAGAAGATTCAATTATCGCATCTTTAACTGAAGACCCCCTGGAACCTTGGTAACTTCAGTACTTCATTTTAATAATAACATCCTCCCACCCCCAAACTCCCTCACTCCAGATGCAGTATGAATGCCCCTGCTCTCTCGCCTAACCGAGGACTAACCCTGAAGGCCCCATCTATATCAGGCTTGCTCTCCCCAACTGCTGCTATGACCCCACCCACCCCAAGGTTCAGGGAACCTGAATAACTACTCCCAGAGAGTCGAGCCAAATCTCTAACAAGTGACTGCACACCCACTGTGCGGGGCCTTTCCGTTGAATTTGCTTCCGTTCTGGGGATGGGGTGGGGTGGCATGAGGGGTGCAGCTGGGGTTGCTACTAGATGTACATTAGGAGAGAGGAGGAAGAATGAAGGAGGGAAAGAAAGGGAAGGAGGGGAGGAGGGAGGGAGGGAAAGAAGGAAGGAAGGGAGGGAGGGAAGGAAGGAAGGAAGGAAGGAAAAGGAAGAAAAAAAAGACGGAGGGATGAATTAGAAGGACGTACTGAGGTGGCAGGAGGGAAGAAATAAGAGAAAAGGGAAAAAAGGGAGAGAAGGAAAGTAGATGTAGATCACACACACACACACACACACACACACACACACACACACACACCCCACCCCCACCGGTTTGCAAATGGTGAACACGTGAGACCCCCTTGAGGTCTCAAAGTGGTGAAACAGCGGCATACTGGGAACCACTGGGAGGGAGAGCGGTTGAGGGGCTTCCCGTCGGGCAGAGACCCTCCCGCTGATCTCATTGTTTCCTCGCCTTCCGGGCTCCTGTATTCCCGAAAGCCGAGAAACTAGGTTAAAACCCGAAGGGTTCTTTAGTACGACTTAAAACTTTTGCCGAAACCCGGGATCGAACCAGGGACCTTTAGATCTTCAGTCTAACGCTCTCCCAACTGAGCTATTTCGGCGCCGCGGGAAGCGCGTCTTCTTTGCTCTGGCTAGAGAGAAGCTCAGCTTCTAGCGGCCAAGCGCCTCTGGCCAGAGTTTGGCTGGGTCCGCAGCTTCTGGGACCCTCGGCTGGGCTGTCCGGTGTCGTAGTGATGTGTGGGGCGGGAAGGTGTTGGAAAGGGTCCCAAGGAGGCGTGTCTCTCCGTCCTGCGGCCACTAGGAAGAAGCGAGGCGGGAACATCATGTCCGATTATCTCTGGCCCTGCTCTATCCTCACGAACTAGCTCGGCCTTAGCCTTCAAACCGATTCTTGATGACCATTCTCCCCGACCTCCGCCCCGACCCACCCCCTGGAGCCATTCTCTCCCATATAAATAAAGTTCAAGCTTAAGGGAACCTCCACTCACTTCCTTCGCGCTCTGCGCCAGATACAGTCATAGCAGGGCAATTCCTTTTGCCCTTTTCACCTTTCGAAGGAAGAACAGAGTCCTAAGGAGCCCGGATAGCTCAGTCGGTAGAGCATCAGACTTTTAATCTGAGGGTCCAGGGTTCGAGTCCCTGTTTGGGCGGTTCCCCTTGCACTTTTAGCCCAGATTATTAACGAGGATTTATGAAGTGCATAAAAGTGAAACACACTCTAAATAAATGTCACTCTAAATGGGTGTGTGCCTACAATACTACCCGCCCATAAAATCCCGTGCATTTTGGGGGTTGTCCATCCGAGTCAATTAATTCAATAGACTTCACAACGTATGAATGCTGTCTAAAAGCTTTCCGCCCGAACAGGGACTTGAACCCTGGACCCTCAGATTAAAAGTCTGATGCTCTACCGACTGAGCTATCCGGGCCCTCGACGGAGTAGCGGCGCAGGAGTCTGTGGAGTTTATTCTAACTACTCTTAACTTCTGCGAGATTTTTAGCTTTGTGGTATATCAGAAAGACCGCAAAAGTCAATACAAAGACCTGGATGGAAACCATCGCTTGGTCTCTTCTTTCTTCTGGAAATTGTGCGACTTTGCGTGGGTCGCTTCACTCTCTGTTTCCTCAACAGTAAAATGAAAAAGGGGCTGAAGGTCACAGAAAGACATAGGTCTCATAGCCACCAAGCTATTCATAGAAGTGCCTTCTGTTACAGAAAGTAACCAGAAGCACTGCAAGAATATTTCTTAAAAAAATTTTTTTTTAAATCAATCAAACCACCAAAAATTTATTTTATAGAGCTAGAAAAACAATAACAAGATTCAGCTGGAAGAACAAAAGGTCCAGAATGTTGCGGTGTGAGAGGTTGAGACACCTCAAAGACTGGAGTACAGGACGGGGTCGTCTGGAATGAATTCGCAGACTCAAGCATTCTTTAAGTCAAGGTGGCAAAGATTTATTGTTACGCTTTTCAGCGGGCAAGGATTCTTAAGGAACCTGCGAGAGACTGAGGATGGAGCTAGGGTTTATACGGAAAAGGCCATGGGAAAGGAATGCCAGGGACACTGATGAGGTAATCTAAAGGTCCAGGTATCTTTGGGAGCTATGGATGAGAAAGTACAGGGAGTATATCAGACAGGGAGGGAGATGACAGAGGTATGGATCTTGGGAGTCTGGCAGGAGGAAGAGTCCTTGGGCTGGCCAAGGACAAAACTTCTTGGGCTGGGCAAGGCACCCCTCTCCCTCTGTCTTGATGAGAGAATGCTCTGAAACAAGGGAAAGCTTTCTCACAAGACAAGAACTTACTAAGGAATTGGGAGACTTCCAGACACATGATCCGAGGGCTGGGGCCTGAGCAGCCCAGCACTCTCTCACCCAGCTTTGTGTAGCTGCACCAAGGAGAGAGATAAGGGTCTTGCTGGGGCCCACGCATAAGTAATTGCCAGGCACAGTGTCCTAGGGCTGGAGAGTGATTGTCAGAGACAGTGTTTCTGAGACTAGGGAGAAACTGGGGTCCAAGTACAAGCACAAACACCCAAGCAGCCCATCACAGAATATTAAGAAAACTAATGAAAAGAAAAGAAATGCAGGGGAAGGTGGCTTAGCCATACTCAATCTTAAATTGTATCATAAATCAGCAATCATCAAAACTACTTGGTACTGGCTAAGAAATAGAACGGTGGATCAGTGGAATAGGTTAGGTACACAAGACACAGTAATCAATGACTATAGTAATATACTGTTTGATAAACTCAAAGACCCCAGCTTCTGGGATAAAAACACTATGTGATAAAAACAGCTGGGAAAACTGGAAAAGAGTATGGCAGAAATTAGGCATAGACCAACATCTTATATCATATACCAAAATAAAATCAAAATGGGTACACGATTTAGATATAAAGGCTGATACCATAAGCAAACTGGAAGAGCAAGGAATAGTTTCCCTGTCGGTTTTATGGAGAACAGAAGAATTTATGGCCAAACAAGAGACAGAGAACATTATGAAATACAAAATGGATAATTTTGATTACATTAAATTGAAAAGTTTTTGCACAAACAAAGCCAACGCAACCATGATTAGGAGGGAAGCAGAAAACTGGGAAAGAATTTTTACAACCAGTGTCTCTGATAAGGGCCTCATTTCTAAAACACATATAGAACTGAGTAAAGTTTCTAAAAATACAAGTCATTCCCCAAATTGATAAATAGTCGAAGGATATAAACAGGTAGTTTTCAGATGAAGAAATTAAAGCTATCTATAGTCATGTGAAAAAATGCTCTAAATCACTATTGATTAGAGAAATGAAAATCAAAACAACTCTGAGGTACCACATCACACCTATCAAATTGGCTAACATGACAAAACAGGAAAAAATGTTGGAGAAGACGTGGGAAAACTGGAACATTAATGCATTCTTGGTGGAGTTGTGAACTGATCCAACCATTTTTAAGAACAATTTGGAACTATGCCCAAAGGGCCATAAACTTTGACCCAGCAATAGTACTTCTAGGGCTGTATCCCAAAGAGATCATAAAAATGAGAAAAGGACCCAGTATACAAAAATATTTATAGCAGCTCTTTTTGTGGTAGCAAAGAATTGGAAACTGAGGGGATGCCCATCAATTGGAGAATGACTGAACAAGTTGTGGTATATGAATGTAATGAAAT